CTGGGGACAGACAGACAGCAGGGACAGCCTGGGACACACGGACAGCAGGGTCACCCCGGGGACACACGGACAGCAGGGACAGCCTGGGGACACACGGACAGCGGGGTCACCCCGGGGAACAGGGGCACAGGGATTCACGTGCATTCTGTTAATGGGTACTAATCTAGCTCATAGATTGAGATTGGATTAATATAAATTCTATTAATGGATGTTAATCTAACAGATTGATATTAGATAAATATAAATTCTGTTAATTGATATGAATCACATAGATTGATATTAGATAAATATAAATTCTATTATTGATATTAATCTAACAGATTGATATTAGATCAACTAATATAAATTCTATTTATTGATATTAATCTAATAGATTAATATTAGCTAGATTACTATAAATTCTATTAATTTATATTAATCTATGATTAGATAGATTAATATCAATTTTATTAATGGATATTAATGTAACTAATAGATCGATATTAGCTAGATTAATATAAATTTTATTAATTTACACTAATCTATCTAAGAGCAATCTATTGGACAGACTAATATCAATGAATAGACTAATTAATCAATCAGTTAACTGACTGAGGGCTGCCCTGGCTCAGCTGAAAGACGCTGGGGGTGTACTCGTCGTTGATGGACCACAGCACATTAGATATTCTATTAATTTATATTAATCTATCTAATATCACTCTATTAGCTAGACTAATACCAATGAACAGATTGATTAATTGATCAATCAGTTAACTGATTGGGCGCCGCCTTGGCTCACCTGGAAGATGCTGGGGTGTACTCGTTGTCAATGGAGTGCAGCATATTAGATATTCTATCAATTTATATTCATGTACCAATTAACTGACTGAGGGCAGCCTGGCTCACCTGGAAGATGCTGGGGGTGTACTCATCGTTGATGGATCACAGCATATTAGATATTCTATCAATTGATATTAATCTAATGCAAATCCATTGGATATACTAATATCACTGAATAGACTGATTAATTGATCAGTTAATTGACTGAGGGCTGCCCTGGCTCACCTGGAAGATGCTGGGGGTGTACTCGTCGTTGATGGACCACAGCATATTAGATATTCTATTAATTGATATTAGTCTATCTAAGATCAATCTATTGGACAGACTAATATCACTGAATAGACTGGTTAATTAATCAATCAGTTAACTAACTGAGGGCTGCCCTGGCTCACCTGGAAGATGCTGGGGATGTACTCGTCGTTGATGGACCACAGCATATTAGATATTCTATCAATTTATATTCATGTATCTAAGATCAATCTATTGGACAGACTAATATCACTGAGTAGACTGATTAATTAATCAGTCAGTTAAGTGACTGGGGCCCATTGTGGCTGACCTGGAAGATGCTGGGGGTGTACTCGTTATCGATGGATCGCAGCATATTAGATATTCTATCAATTTATATTCATGTATCTAAGATCAATCTACTGGACAGACTAATATCACTGAATAGACTGATTAATTGATCAGTTAAGTGACTGGGGCCCATTGTGGCTGACCTGGAAGATGCTGGGGGTGTACTCGTTATCGATGGATCGCAGCATATTAGATATTCTATCAATTTATATTAATCTATCTAAGATCAATGTATTGGACAGACTAGTACCACTGAACAGACTGGTTAATTGATCAGTTAAGTGACTGGGGCCCATTGTGGCTGACCTGGAAGATGCTGGGGGTGTACTCGTCGTCGATGGAGCTGTCGCGCTGCAGCCGCCGCGCGGCCCCTGCGGGCTCCACCGTGGCCAGCTGCAGCAGGAAGCGGGAGCCGTTCCCCCGCGGCGTCACCCCGGCCAGCAGGAACTGCAGCTGCGAGCTGTCTGCCGTGTGCAGCAGCCTGGGCAGCGCCCCGGCACGGCCCGCGGCCTCGTAGGCTGTCACCTGCGGGGGCACGGGGACAGCGAGGGACAGAGAGGGACAGAGGGACAGCAACGGACAGGGGACAGTGAGGGACACAAGGGAGAGGGACAGTGAAGGACAGAGGGACAGTGAGAGACACAGGTCAGAGGGACAGCTCCTGTCACCTGGATGTGTCCCCTGCCCCCTGGATGTGCTCTCTGCCCCCTGGACAAGTTCTCTTCGCCCTGGACGTGCCCCCTGGACACGTTCCCTGTCCCCTGGACAAGATCCCTGCCTCCTGGACGTGCCCCCTGCCCATGTCCCCAGCCCCCTGGACATGTCCCCAGCCCCCTGCCCATGTCCCCAGCCCCCGGGCACACCCGGAATGCCAGGCTGCCGTTGGAGAAGGCGCCGCCGGGGTCGGTGGCCGGGACCCCGCTGAGCTCGGCCGTCAGCGCCGTGTGGTTCAGGGTGTGGTTGAGGCTGTCCCAGGAGAACTCTGACAGGTCGTAGGTGGGGTAGAAGAGCTCTCCTCCAGGTTTGGCCTCGCTGAACTCGAACAGCTGCAGGGAAGGGAGGGGAGAGGGGTTGGGACCACTGGCAGGATGGGAGATCCGTGATCCACTTGAGGTAGAGCTGCCTCAGCCAACAGCTCAGACACTTCCCTGGATGGGAATGGGAATGGAGGGGATTTCCCTGGAGCTGGGAAGCTGCCCAGGGACCCTCTGCACCCCCAGAGCAGCCGCTTGCCAGCAGTACCTTGGTGAAGACCACGGCTGTGGAATAGACCACGCTGTCGGGAGGGTCGATCCAGATGGCTCCAGCAGGACTGGGTGACAGCAGCTGGGTCCAGTTGACCCTCAGGGCACTGCTGGGGCTCTGCGTGGCCACCAGGAGCACAGAAGGGGCCCCGATGCTGCTCCACACGTAGTGCAGGGTGTCCTCAGGCCCCACTGCCCGCACGTGCAGCAGGTTCACAGAGGAGCTGTTCCAGCCAGGGTTGTACTCCATGGACACCTGCGGGGCAGGGACAGGGCTGGGGGTGGCTCTGACCCCTGCAGGACAACCCCAGTGTGCCGGGAGGATGGGACATTGCAGCTGCCTCTGCTCCCGTGACTCTGCAGCCCTGGTGTTGCTCAACACCTCGGTCAGCATTTCACAGCTTTGAACTGCTTCCCTTCCTAAAGGCCCTCCCTTCCACAGCCCCCTCCCTTTCACAGCCCGTTCCCTTCCCATCCCATCCCACGGCCATGCTGGTCCCACTGCATTAGGACACAGGGCAGACGAGGGACAGACACGGGCTGCCCTGGGACATGTCCCTGCAGGACAGGGGGTGGCAGGGCAGGGTCACCCAGGACACAGCGAGGGCTGCTTCAGCTCCAGCCCCACGTGGGAGCCCCGTGTCCCCTCAAACCCCTCAAAGCTGGGCCCCAGCGGGACCGGGGGGTCCAGCCCAGCCCCTGCTGTGGGCAGCACCCCGCGAGAACACAAACTATCCCAAAAGTTTCTATCCCACAAACCATCCCAAGAGTTTCTATCCCACAAACTATCCCAAAAGTTTCTATCCCACAAACTATCCCAAAAGTTTCCCCTCAACATGAGCAAGAACTTCTTTACCTTGAGGGTGGCAGAGCCGCCCTGGGCGAGCACGGAGTGTCCCCCCCCACCCCCCTGGATGTCCCTGTGCCACCCGCTCTGGGTGAGCCCCGTGTCCCGGCTGGGCATCCCGAGATCCCCAGGAGGGGACACGGGGGGCTCAGCCACCGCCGCAACGCGGGACGAGCTCCGAGCTCCGCACCCGGCCCCGGTACCCCCGGTAACACCGGCAGCCCCGGTACCCCCAGCCCCGCTCACCTTCCGGCCCCGCTCGGCCCCGGCCGCCGCCAGCAGCGCCAGCAGCGCCAGCCCCGCAGCGGCGGCCATGGCGCGACCGGCCCCGGCCACGGCCCCGCCCCGGTACTGCCCCGGGACCGCCCCGGTACTGCCCCGGGACCGCCCCGGAACCGCCTCGGAACGGCCCGGGCACCGCCCCGGCACTGCCCCGGGACCGCCCCGGAACGACCCAGGGACCGCCCCGGGACCGCCCGGGCACCGCCCCGGAATGACTCCGGGACCGCCCAGGGACCGGCCCGGGCACCGCCCCGGTACCGCCCCGCGCGGTGCAGGAGCCCTCGGGAGCGGCGGTGTGTGCGGGATGCGGATGGATTCAGGAAACACTCGGGGTTTGCCGCTCGGCTTCTGCCCCGTGTGCGCTGAGCCCCTCCCGAGCCTGGGCGGCAGAGACCCCCCCATGGCCATCATCCCATCCAACAGAGATCCCCCGATGTCCATCATCCCATGGAGAGGAGACCCCCACTTCACTGTCAGGGCAGTGGAGACCCCCCTCCTTCATCATCCCTTCCAGCAGAGACCCCCATGGCCATCATCCCATCCAGCACAGACCACCCCATGTCCATCATCCCATGGAGACCCCCCCTCCTTCATCATCCCATCCAGCAGAGATCCTCATCTCCCTCCCCCAGGGCACCTGAGACTCCCCAAGTTCATCACCCCATGGAGACCCCCACTTCACCGTCAGGGCAGTGGAGACCCCCCTCCTTCATCATCCCTTCCAGCACAGACCCCCACGTCAATCCAGCAGGACAAGGCAGACCCCACTTCACCGCGTGGAGCTTCTGAACCTTTGGGGTCTCTGAAGCCTCAGCCGTGGCCTCTGGAGCACCCCACACTCCAGAGACCACTCACTGTCACTGCCCCATACTCTGGAGACCCTCAGAGACCCCCACCCTCAACAGAAACCCCCACTTCCATCCCCCAGGAGGGCAGTGGAGACCCCCCTCCTTCAGGAAACTCCATCACCCCATTCCCCAGGGCTCCAGAGACCCCCCAGACCACCCCAACATCCAGAAACCCCCCACCTTCACTGCTCCATACTTTGGAGACCCCCAAATCCCAGAGAGACCCCACCCCAGGACACCAAAGACCCCCACCCTGCCCATGTTTTTGTTGCCCCCTGAAGTGCAGCCCCCATCCTTGGGCTCCCCAAGGCTCCTGGTGTGGGCACAGACCCCTCAGAGCCCCCAGCCTGGGGGGTTTTGTCCCCCCACCATAAACAATCATCCAGAAATGATTAATTTATTTAGGGATAAACCTAAATAAACCTGAACCCCAACCCCTGGGAGCTCCTGGGGGAGGCCAACACCTCCTCCACCCTGATCCCTGCTGGATCTGGGGTGGCTCTGGGAAGCCACAAGCGTTAAAAATTCCTGGAGGATCAGGGGCACAAAACGTCCCCCCATGTCACAGCCCCAGTTTGGGGTGGGTGGTGAATGGGGGGAGGCAGAGGTGTCCAACCTGCTGGGTTTTATTGTCCATGGGGCAGGAGGAACACCCAGAGCTCCTGGGAACGGAGATTCCAGGGGAGGATTCCACCATTTTTGGTTGGTTTTAGGGACGGCAGGGGAACATTCCAAAGTTTTTCTTGGTTCTAGGGTTGTCAAACAAGCATTCCATTGGTTTTGTTGGGTTTAGGATTTCCAGAGGAACATTCCACCATCTTTGCCAATTCTAGGGTCACCACGGGATCAATCCACCACTTTTGTTGGCTCTAGGGTTTCCAGAGGAACATTTAATAATTTTTTTTAAACTCTAGGGTTGCCAGATAATTCCACCATTTTTGTTAGTTCTAGGATTTCCAGAGGAACATTTAATAATTTTTTTTAAACTCTAGGGTTGCCAGAGGATAATTCCACTATTTTTGTTAGTTCTAGGATTTCCAGAAGAGCATTCCACCATTTCTGTATGTTCTACGGTCACCACAGGACCATTCCACCATTTTTGTTGGCTCTAGGATTTCCAGAGGAACATTCCACCCTTTCTGTCAGTTCTAGGATTTCCAGTACACCATTCCACTTTTTTTGTTGGTTCTAGAGATACCAGAGGAGAGTTCCACAATTTTTTTTTCAGTTCTTGGGTTCCAGAGGAGCATTTCACTATTTCTGTGGGTTCTGGGGTCACCACAGGACCATTCCACCATTTTTGTTGGCTCTAGGATTTCCAGAGGAGAATTCCACCCTTTTTGTCAGTTCTAGGGTTGCCATGGGATTATTCCATTGTCTTTGTTGGTCCTAGGGTTGCCATGGGATCATCCCACTGGTTTTATTTGTTTCTAGGGTTGCCATGGTAGAATTCCACCCTTTTTGCCAGTTCTGGAGTTGCCAGAGGGGCATTCCACCCTTTTTATTGGTTCTAGGATTTCCAGGGGAAGCATTCCACCATTTCTGTCAGTTCTAGGGTTGCCATGGGAGTATTTAATATTTTTTTTTTAAATTCCAAGGTTGCCGTGGTAGAATTCCACCCTTTTTGCCAGTTCTAGAGTTGCCAGGGGAGCATTCAATTTTTTTTTTGGTTGGTTCTAGAGATACCAGAGGAGAATTTCACCTTTTTTTTTTTTCAGTTCTACAATTTCCAGAAGAGTGTTTTACCATTTTTGTTGGCTCTAGGGTTACCAGAGGAACATTCCACCATTTCTGTCAGTTCTAGGGTGGCCATGGGATCATTCCAGAATTTTGGTTGGCTTCACAGGGTGACGTTTGGGGATCTCAGAGACAAATTCTCAAATTCCCTCCAGATGGGGATTCATTCCTGGGAATCTGATGCTACCTGAGGTCTGGAGGGGTAAATATGAGATTCTATGCCAGCTCCCTCTTCAGTGTAGGGCATCCCAAACATCCTTTTTGTTGGGAATTTGGAATATTCTGGGGTAGAAAGCAAAATCTTCCTGATTCTGATTCTGAGTGTGGGATAATTAGCAGGGAACTGATTTTTAACTGCATTTGCACAAGTGGTCATTGCCAAAAACCCAGGAAGAACATCCTGCAGCAGTGACAGGACAGGTGTAACTCCATGTTTCTGTCCTAATTCCTCAATTATCCTCACCTTCCCCAGCAGGTTTGGCTGATTTTTTTCCTTTCCAAGTGAGAATTTCTCCTCTTGCAGGGAGGACAGGGATCCTCACACCTCCTCACCTCATGGGCAGCACAGCTGAGGGTGACCTGGTGAGATAAAAGGGGAGCTGAAGGCTTGGGAAGATTATGGAACCCATGGAAAATCTGGAAAAGCCAAAAAGGAGCTGCAAAAGAAGCCAAGGGAGACCAAAAAAGTGCAGCTGAGAGAGACTGGGAGCTCTGTGTCCTCCTCACACAGGTGAGGTGATGAACAGAGCTCGTCCCAGACAAGCAGGGACAACTCTGGTGCCTGAATTTGGGGGTCACGGGGGTCTCTGAACCCAGGGTGTCCCTGAACCTGAAGGTTGTGGCACTCTGGGGTTCCCAGACACAGGAGAACACACCTGGATCTGCTCCTGAGCTCTTCCACACTCATGGCTGGGGAGAAGGAGCTCCAACCCCTCCCCAAGGAACCACAGCTGAGCTGGAATCAGTTTTATTGCTGCCTCTGTCCCAAAATGCAAATGAAGATATTTCATTCTCCATTTGCTGATGGCAGGAGTGATTTTTTGCAGAATCTGCTCTTTCTCTCCCCATTCCTACCAAATTTACCTTTGGGTGTGTCCCACTCACTGCCCACATATTTTAAATTTTTCAGAATAATCTTCTGGCTTTTTCCCCCTGGAGGTGATGGAAATGGCAATGACAATTTTGGAAATTACAATTTTCCCAGGATGAACATGGGGGCAGAACTTCCAGCACCACCAGGGCCTGGTTTTCCCAAACAGGCTGAGCTTCAGCATTTGCACAGATACAACAAGGAGAAAAACAAACAAGCCAAGCCCAAAGCTGGAGATGGACTGGTTTTCCTCTGGAGACCAGAAATCCAGTCAAGGAGAGCATCCTGGGATTGGCAGGTGTGCAGAGAGCTTGGAGTCATGGAATGGTTCGGGTTGGGAGGGACCTTAAACATGTCCAGTGCCACCCCTGCCATGGCAGGGTCACCTTCCACCATCCCAGGGTGCTCCAAACCCTATCCAGCCTGGCTGTGGACACTTCCAGGGATGGTGCAGCCATGGAATCATCTGTGCCAGGGCCTCGTTGCCCTCACAAGGAACAATTTCTTCCCAATATCCCATCTAACCCTGCCCTCTGGCAGTTTAAAACCATTTCAGAGTACAAAGGTCCAGGCAGGGAGCACTGAGTTACCCAAATTTACCAAGGTGGACACTCAGATCAGAAACCTACATTTCTTTGGCCACACATGTGACAAAATGACCCCATTCATCACAGGAAATGCCACCTGAAGGTTCTGACCCGCTTCCCTCCAGCTGGGCCCTACTGGAAAGGGCAGAACATCCCTTAGGAAGAAGGAATCAAAAATGGGACAGTGCTGGGGGGACATGTGGGGTTAAAACACCTGCTTGGAGGAGAAACCAAGGGGAACAAGGGAAGGGAGAGACGATGGAGGAGAAATGCCTGGAGAAGGGAGCACAGGGATGTTACATCCATCAGCTGTGCCAGGAAAAGTGATTCCCTCCCCATGCAAACCCTCGGGGGTGTTATAAACCTAAGGGATCGCGACTTGGGAGGGAAATGGCACTAAAATAAAAGAGACACCTGCCTGGAGATCATCTCTGAGGGAAATGGACCTAAAATAAAAGAGACACCTGCCTGGAGATCATCTCTGCCGGGACTCGAACCCGGAACCTCTGGATTAGAAGTCCAGCGCGCTCGTCCATTGCGCCACAGAGACCTCACCGTGAGGGGAGCGTCGGCTCCAGAACTGAAAAATCCACAGCGCCCGCAGGGTCCGGCGCCCATCGACACCCCCCTGGCACAGCAGCACCTCCAGAGTCCCCTCCCTGCGCAGGGACAGGCAGGAATAATCCCAGGGATGATCCGTATCTGGCTCGGCAGCAGGGATGCAGCAAAAAGCTGGATGCAGGCTGGTATCCGCCTCTCTGGCAACCTTTCCGCAGCATCCCCGGCGCTCTGGGCAGAGCTAAATCCTGGAGCAGAGTTCCTCGCTGCATCCCAGCAGCATCACAGCATCCTCTCCTCGCTGCAGAAGGCAAGGGATAAAGATGAAAGAGGATTTAGCTCAGCGGTGAGGGGAGCTCTGCTTGTCGGCGTGGAAAAACGAGGTTTGAGCAGAGGAGTGAAAGGGAAAGCAGCTACCGTGGGTTTCCTTTCAGCAAGCTGTCAGTCAGGGGTTTAATGAAGAAACATTGGGGGAAAATTGAAGACAAATGTCAAAACAACAGGAAAGGTCCATTTACAGCCACTGACCTATTAACAATGGATCAGACTCTGGCACCGAGTCGCCGCTGGGAATTTGGAATCCCCGAAAGGAACGAATGTCAAGCTGGGAACAGCACATTTGGAACGCGTGAATGGAACGAATCTCAGGCTGTTGTTCTCTCCCAAACACACCCCCGATTCCTGTGCAAGGGGAGATGTTAAGTGCAATCCCAAAAGAAGAATTCCCTGAGACAGGGAGCTTTTGACTTGAGGTCAGTGTGAGCTGAAGCTCAGGCAGCTCTTCCTGTGGGAGAACAGCCCAGAGCAGGAATAAAGAGGAGATCCTCCCCCAGTGGAACCAGAACCTCAAAATTGAGGATAAAGCCCTCCAAACACCCGTGTTTAGATGGTGAAGACCACACCAAGTGTGTTCAAGCTCCTGCTGCATCCCTGCTTTCCTCAGTGCCTGTCCTTCCTGCCTCAGGCTGGGGCACCTCTGTGCTCATGGCTAAAATCCCATTCTGTGCCAAATCCCTGCCTCCCTCGAGGGCTGGAAAAGACCTGACTCTGCCCAAAGTGAGCAGAGAAGTTGTGTGGTGCTGAAGAGAAGAGGCACAGCACTGACAACCTCAGCACACCTAATGCAAACCCAAAGGATTTGGTGATCCTTTTACTCAAGGAAAGCTTTACGGTGTTCTTGACAGTAAAATTCACTTTGGAGTGGTGGGAAAGAAGGCAGGGGTTGAACTTCTAAAAGAAAAACCCTTCCTGCTGCAAAAGATAACCCAGTGAATTGATAATCCTTGAAATAAATTCCTCTGTGAACCAACTGTGATCACACTGGGACCTGGAGAAAACTCAAAAGCCTAGAAAACACCCATCTGCAGAGTGACCAAAGGCTGTGTTTAAAAATGTCACAGGAAAAAAGCTCTAAAGGATGAGAAAAATCTCCCACAGCCCTGGAAGACTGTGTGCTCCTCCTGGGGGATGAAGACACCAGCTTTCAATATGATTTTGGGAGGCTGCACCTCAAGAGTGCCTGCTTTGAAGTGAGCAGCAAGCAGAAAATCTGGAGCTGATGAATGAAACAGCAGAAACTCTCAGAAGAATGGCTGTGGCTCTCTGGGCAGCCACGTCCCTGGAATCAGAGGTTTGAAGGGATTCCTCCTGCCTGGAGCTCCCCTCAGCCCTAATTGCACCAAACTCAGGAAATGACAAGGAGTCTGAGCTGATGAAAATGCCACATTTCTGTCAGAGGAGCAGCAGCACTGCCAGCAAAGCCTCATCCTCCTCCTCATCTTCATCCCAACACGCAGCTCTGGAGGCCTGGGGGCACCTGCCAGGTGTTTCTGTACCTTCAGCCACCCTTCAGTCTTCCCTGAGCTCCCAAATGTTCCTCTGCTCCCTGGAGATTGACAAATTTGGGAAGCAGAGACTGGAGGGAGCAGCACAGAAATCCCTACAGAGGTGGGACTGCTTTGTGGTATCCAGAGAAAGGTTTTACACTAAATATAAATATATTATAAATATAATATATAATTATATTTATGATATTATATATATAATATGATATAAACTATAAATGCAAGCACCCAATTCCCCAATAAAACCCTCTCCAGGAGCCACCAAGCTGTGTGACTTGAGGCCAAAAATCCACTTACACCTGTGTGATGGTGCAGACTCTCCCAAAAATCCTTACAATAGGTATATTATTATTTTTTCCTAAATTTCTAATGAGCCAGGAGCAAGGATGCAGTGGCCCAGGGTGAACCCAGAGAATTTACCACCTCATGAACAGCTGGGAAAGGCCTTTGGGAAGACAAAACTCTGAGCAATTTGATGACTGATGGAGCTTTCAGATCCATATCACCTGAAGCTGCTCCAGGGCAGCATCACCAGTGTTGGGAAATCCAGAAATCCTTTGTACACTGAAAGAAACAGCAACAGAAAAACCCTACAGAAAGTCCCTACAGAAAGATATTTTTGCATCCCAGGCTGAAGCAAAAACCATCAGGGATAAAAGCAGTGGAGAGAGGTGCTGATGTTCCTGGAGATAATGTTGGATCTCAGGCACAAACTGGAAAATTCTAAACGGGCCTTGATTATAGAATTAAGGGATGGTTTGGGTGGGAAGGGATCCAGGTTGATGCCTTGGGTGGGAAGGGATCCAGGATCACCCTTTGAGTGGGAAGGATCCAGAATGATCCTTTGGGTGGGAAAAGATGCAGTATCATCCTTTGGTGGGAAGGGATCCAGTGCTGGGGAAGATGAGACAGGAAAGCCTTATAAATATGATTGTCTGGCAAAAGATTTTGAGAATATGGAACCTGTGAGCAAGATTGAAATGAAAGCAAGCTTTGAGATACCTTAGTTACTGAACAACTGGAGAACAATGGAATGGCTGGCTGAAGGTAATCTCCTTTTGATGGAACAATACACGCTGCTTGCAGACAGGTCCAAGGGTCAGAGCACACCCTACTAGCTTGGCAGAAAGGGTGCAAAGAGTCGTTTTTAGGGTTTAAAATGTAACACAGTATGGTAATGTAATGATTCTTAGAGGCTGTATGTAAATGCTGTAAGATTTGTATCTTGTATTAGATTGGTTAGTGAGAATTAGAATATTCAACACAGAAGATTTATTGTATTGTAACGGGAACCATTTGTTCATTCTCTCTTTACCACGCTCTTGCATTCATTCTCTTTGCTCTTCCTTGCTCTCTCATTCCCTCTCTCTCTTTGGGGCCTGCTCCGTGCTGCAGCTGGCAGCTCCAAGCAGGGCCCCTGCAATAAACCACAAATCCCACGACCTGGCTTCAGAGATCTCTCATTCCTGTCTGTCCCGACCGTTCTACACCCTGCCACTCCTACAATCCAGGGTGGGAAGGGATCCAGGATCATCCTTTGGGGTGGAAATGACCCAGGGCGATCCTCTGGGTGGGAAGGGATCCAGGATCACCCTTTGGGGTGGAAATGATCCAGGGTGATCCTCTGGGTGGGAAGGGATCCAGGATCACCCTTTGGGGTGGAAATGATCCAGGGTGATCCTCTGGGTGGGAAGGGATCCAGGATCACCCTTTGGGGTGGAAATGATCCAGGGTGATCCTCTGGGTGGGAAGGGATCCAGGATCACCCTTTGGGGTGGAAATGATCCAGGGTGATCCTCTGGGTGGGAAGGGATCCCCCCTGGCCACGGACACCTTCCATGACCCCACGTTGCTCCAAGCCCCGTCCAGCCCAGCCCTGGACACTTGCAGAGATGAGGCATCCCTGGAATAACCCCTGCCAAGCCCTCTCCGCCCTCACAAGGAGGAATTTCTTCCCAAAATCCCAAAACCTCCCCTCCTCCATTTTAAACCCGTGCCCTTTGTCCCACACCTTCTCCAAAGTCCCTCTCCAGCGCTCTCGGAGCCCCTTCAGGCGCTGGAAAACCCTCCCTTCCCACCGCCGCCATCTCCTCCCCTCAGCGTTTCACTTTTCCGAAGTTTTCTTTACTGAACTCCCCTCACGCGGGCGCTTTTCCCGCTCCCCTCACGGCCCGTCCCGCGCAGGCCGCGCCTCACCCTCAGGGCTGGCCCGGCGCCGCCGCTCGCTGCTCCGGGGCTGCTGCACGGGGCTCCGGCTGTTCCTCGGTGTTCCCGGGGCTGCTTCTCGGTGTTCCCGGGGCTTCACGGTGCTCCCGGGGCTGCTTCACGGCGTTCCCGGGACTGGCTCACGGTGCTCACGGTGCTTCCAGGGCTTGGTTCCCGGTGTCCCCGGGGCTCCTCGGTGTCCCCAGGGCTTCCCGGGGTTGTTTCCCGGTGCTTCTCGGTGTTCCCGGGGCTGTTACCCCGTGTTCCCCGGTGTTGTTTGCCGCTCTTTTGCGGGGTTGTTCCCCGGTGTTGTTTGCCGGTGTTTTGCCGGGTTGTTCCCCGCAGTTCCCGGTGCTCCCCGCTGTTGTTCCCGCAGCAGGAGCCCCAGGCCCGGCCGTGCCCGTCCCGCCCCGCTCCTTTGTGCCGTGCCCGGCCCTTTCCGCCGGGCCCCGCCGGGTTTCCATGGGGACGGCGCCGGCCCGGACAAAGGCCCGGGCAGCGGGGCCGGAGCGGGGCTGGACCGGGGCAGCGGGGCCGGAGCCAGCGGGGAACGCGGGCCCTGCCCCGGCCAGGAGCCGGGGAGACCCGCCGGGACCCGCTGCGGGATGCTGGGATCCACTGGGGGATGCTGGGATCCACTGGGATCCACTGTGGTATACTGGGATCCACCATGGGATACTGGGATCAATTGGGATCCACTGTGGGATACCGGGATCCACCGGGGGGATGCTGGGGTCTGTGAGGAGCTCTCGGGATCCACTGAGAACCACTGGAGGCACTCGGATCTGAGAGGAGCCGCGGGGATCTGCTGGAATCCACTGGGATCCGCTGGGAGATACTGGGATCTGCTGGGACATGAGAGGAGCCGCGGGGACCTGCTGGGATGGGCTGGGATCCACTGGGAGAAGCTGGGATCCACTGGGGGATACTGGGATCTGCTGGGATCTGAGAGGAGCTCTCAGGATCCACTGGGACCCACTGGAGGCACTGGGATCTGCCAGGAGCTGTTGGGATCCACTAAAGGATACTGGGATCCACTGGGAGAAACTGTGTTGCACCAGGAGATACTGGAATACACTGGGATCTGAGAGACGTATTGGGATCTGCTGGGACCCACTGGGGGGCACGGGGATCCACTGGGATGTGAGAGGAGCTCTTGGGATCTGCTGGAATCCACTGGGAGAGGCTGGGATCTGCTGGGGGATACTGGGATCCACTGGGAGATACTGGGATCCACTGAGGGATACTGGGATCTACTGGGAAAGAATAGGAGCTGTTAGATCTGCTGGGAGATACTGGGATCCACTGGGGGATACTGGGAATATAATGGGAATAAATGCTGTATAATAGATTATTATATTATATTATATTATATTATATTATATTATATTATATTATATTATATTATATTATATTATATTATATTATATTATATTATTATATATTATATATTATATATTATATATTATATATTATATATTATATATGGGAATATATTATATATTATATAGTATATATTCTATATTATATATTATATATAATATATGGGAATATATTATATATAAGGGAATATAAACCAGGCTGGGACAAAAATTGATGCATTTAATAATGAGATTTCTGAATTTCTCACCTGCTGACCTCAAAGCTTTGTGCCAAGCCAATATTTACTCCTGCTCTGCAAACTCAGGGAGTTTGGGGTGCTGTGGATGTGATCACCAAGCCTTGCTGACAGCTCCATTTATCACAGAGCAGATTTTGGAGTTTGGGCTGGGCAGAATTTCCCCCCCTCCTCATTGGTTGTGTTTTATTCCCGGTGAAAAATCTCCGTGGAAATTCCCAGCGACAGCAAAATTCCCTTTGCATTCCTGGTGCACACTCAGGCAGCCAAGCAAGGCTGTAAATAATTGAGAACCCATCATTTTCCCTTTGCAGTCCTCACCAGAACCAGCCTGCTTCGCCCTCAACAGCAAATATTTAGTGAGGTAATCAATCCAAGAGAAAAAAAATCTTAATTTGGATAAGAAAATTCAATGTTTTTCCCCCCAGATCTTCTGTCTGATTATCTCTGGCATCCATCCTGCTGTTCTCAGGGTAGGTGCTGTAGCAGGAGATAATTATGAGGATCACAATTAACTGCAGCTAATGCTTCTTATTAGCATTTTGCTGGGGCTTGTGGAGTTTTTCAGCTGAAACAGATAAACAAGCTCAAACATTCTCATAGGAAAGCTCAGACAAAAACAGAAACAAAGAGGCACGGAGGGAAAACCCAGAGCAGCTCGGGCTGGAAATCTCACAGCTCGCAGTTCACAGCTCCAAATTATCCAAATTTGAGGTTTGGTTTTGGGCATTTGGGGAGCTGCAGGGTGGAAGATGCCAGAAATAATTCCAAATTTGTGGACAAATTCCAGCTGAGGAACTCCTGTCCCTGTCCTCACCTGGCTCAGGTGTGCTCCAACAAGAACCAGGCAGTTCACAGCTCCAGATTTGGATTTTTTGCCCTCTATTTGGGGTTGGTTTTTTTGGGTATTTGGGCAGCTGCAGGGTGGAAAGATGCCAAAGTCACTTTCAATTTGGAATTTCCATAAATTCCAGCTCAGGAGCTCCTGTCCCTGTCCTCACCTGGCCCAGGTGTGCTCCCACAAGAACCAGGCAGTTCACAGCTCCAAATTTGGATATTTGGGGGGGGGGGTTGGTATTTGGGGAGCTGCAGGGTGGGAAGATGCCAGAAATTCTAAATTTGAGGATAAATTCCAGCTCAGGAACTCCTGTCCCTGTCCTCACCTGGCCCAGGTGTGCTCCCACAAGAACCAGGCGGTTCACAGCTCCAAATTTGGATATTTTGCTCCATATTTAGGGTTTTTTGTGGGTATTTGAGGAGCTGCAGGGTGGGAAGGTGCCAGAAGTCACTCCCAATTTGTGGACAAATTCCATCTCAGGAGCTCCTGTCCCTCCCTCACCCCTGGAGCTGCCAAAGGGAGGGGAAGCCCCTTGAATAGATGTTTGATGTGGCAGCCTGGAGCTGATAAACCATTGATTTTTTTTCCTCTTTTTTTGGCCTGCAGGAGATTGTCAGCAATAGCAAAGCAGGGCTGATAAGAGCCCAGGCTGCTGGAGGATCCTGGCAGCCCAGGGTGGGATGTCCAGACAAAAAACATCCTTCAATTTCTCTTTTCCAGACTGAGACATCCCAGATAAAGCCCTTATCTGCCTTCTCTGCAATCAATGAGATGCTCCAGCCTGGCTCAGCAGGGCAGCAACAGCTTTATCACAGCAGCCACACCTGGGGAATTTGTCTAAATTCCCAAAATCCCAGGCCCAGAGGTGCCTGGGTGTGTCCCTGGCACGGTGGCAGTGCCAGGCTCTGGCTGCAGGGAGCCTGAGGTGCCTCCATGGGGAATTCATCAAAAAAGGTAAAAACGCCCCAGGCTGCCCTAAAATATTTTCCTGTTGGGTTTCCAGCAGTGGAAACCCCTTTTACCTTTTCTCCCCCTTTTCCATTTTCTCCCCCTTTTTCCTTTTCTCCCACTTTTTCCTTTTCCCTTTTATCTCTCTTTTCCATTTTCTTCTCCTTTTCCTTTTTTCCTTTTCTCCCTTTTTCCTTTTCCCTTTTCTCCCCCTTTTCCATTTTCTCCCACTTTTTCCTTTTCTCCCCCTTTTTCCTTTTCTCCCCTTTTCCTTTTTCCTTTTCTATTTTCTCCCCCTTTTCCCTTTTCCATTTTCTCCCCCTTTTCCCTTTTTCTCCCCCTTTTCCCCATTTTCTCCCCCTTTTTCCTTTTCCCCTTTCTATTACTTTTCCATTTTCTCCACCTTTTTCCCATTTTCTCCCCCTTTGCTCATTTTCTCCCCATTTTTTCCTTTTCTCCCCCAATTCCAGCCCTTTCCCGGCCACCTTCGAGCAGGAGAGGGCAGCAAATCGCTCCTCTGGAAGGAAAGGAAAGCACGAGGTCTCCATTTGGGGATGTTTTTTGCTCTTTCCTGTGGAAATCTTCACTCAGAATCATTTTCTCTTCCTCCCAAGGCTTTGCTGCAACCAAAATATTTGGAACTGTTCCCACCGGCTCCTCCCAAAATCGGGATTTTTGGAGGATGTGATGCAGATGATGCTCAAGTTTTGAGTCCCAGACACCAATCCCCGAGCTGAAGTGGTTTTTGCAGCCTTGTGCTTGCATCTCCATCAGTAAATTTGGGATTGTCAGCTATTCCTTGGCACAGGGACTGCATCATTTGGACATTTCTTAGCCCTTTTTTATGCCATGAATCCACCTCCCAAACCATTTCCAGGGACCATCCCCAAGGGGCTCCTCCTGGGGACACCCTGGTCTGCAGGATCTGAGCCACCAGAGCTCAAACTCCACTCCTGAGAGGGCCCAGGGGTGTTTAAAAATCAGATGTGGGATGTTTAAAAATGAGACGTGGTGATATCTGGTAAATATTTGATATTTAGACATATCAGATGTGGTGATATCTGCTAAATATCTGGTATTTAAACAAATGTAGTGATCCCCCTGCATTTCTGCAGGATTCCCTGTCAGGATTGGGACAATTCCAGAGCCTCCTGAGGTGCAGGAGCTCAGCTGAGCCCTCATCACCAGTGATGGGAGAGTCATCCTCCCATATTAAACAACTGCAAAGTTGTCTCCAGTGAAATCATCAGGTTTTGGTGCTGTTAGACCCACTGGTGAGGAGTGGGAGTGGATCCCATACAGGGAAGTGCCCCTTGCTCTCCACCAGACCCTGATCCCTGAACTAAAAAAAAAACTATTTAAAAAATATTAAACTAGCAAAAAATTTTAAAATTTATTTATTTATCATCAATAAAAATTGTAAAAAGAAATTTAAAAAATAATTTTAATTCCTACCACTTTTTTATTTTAATCACTATTAATAAATTTTTCTTTATACCCTTTTAAAATTTTAAACCAACTTGACCTTTCTCCTAATCCTATCTTACAACAACAACAAAAAATACACTAATAATTAACCAACACCAAGTTTGGATGCTGAAATTCACAGAATCAAAGAATCCCAGAATGGGTTGGGCTGGAAGGGACCTTAATGATCATCCAGTGCCACCCCTCTTACTGCACATTTCCCCGAGGCAGCTTGAAAAACTAAAAAGAGAAAATAGAAAAACCCCGAAAGTTCAACTGAAAGTACTACAGAACCTTGCAGGGTGGGAGCAGCTGAAAATAGAGCTGCCTGCACACACCCACCCCCTGGCTCGTGCTTCCAGAGCCATCTCCAGCTCCTGGGTTTGTATTTATAGCCCAGCAAGCCGGGAGCTGGGGGATTGTGCTCAGCACGAGCAGGGAGAGGCATGAACCCGGCAGAGAGCTCGTTTGTCCCTGGGATTCCTCCTGGGAGTGCAGCCCTGAGCAGCAGCAGGTCTCTCCGTCCATGCCACTGAACAGGATCCTGCTCCTTTGGGAGCCCAACCCAAATGGATGAACCCAAAATGAGCAGGATGACCCAACACAAAGGGACCAACCCCAAACGACCAACCCTAAAATGACCAGAATCCTGCTCCTTTTGGAGCCCAACCCAAATGGATGAACCCAAAATG